GTAACAAACTTTTTGGGAGTGTTCACATATGACCATTATGACCTGCTATAACAGGTTAAATCCTAAATGTGAACGCTTTCAACAAGTTTGTTACCTAGATGTGTACAAAAAAAATAATTACCCAAATATGAACAAAACGAAAAGTAAAAATTAAATTACATGAATGGTCCCTGTAGTTTGGGGGAATTTGTGGTTTTGGTCTCTAAGTATTTTTTAAATTTAAATGGTTCCTATTGTTTATTTTTGTTGCGCGTTTGGTCCCCATCTTACCTAAAAATACTATTGTGCCCTTATTAATTTATTTTTTTTTAATTAATTTTCTTATCTATGTTTATTTTTTACATATTTATAAAAATTAATATACCACACATATTTGTATCTCCTCGGATGATCCCTACTATTTATTTTTTAATTAATTTAATTTTTTAACTCGGATGGTCCCTACTATTTAATTTTGTTACGAACTTGGTCTCTGTCTTACCTAAAAAGACTATTGTGCCCTTATTAATTTTTTTTAAATTAATTTTCTTGTTTATGTACTTATGCTTTATATGTTTAAGAAAAATTAGTAGACCTCACATATCTGTATCTCTTCACCATCCCATCTTTCATCATTCTCAACTTCTATATATTTTTCATCTTTAGTGATATCGACGTCTTCATCATCACTTCTTTTTTGTAGTCCTTCAACTCCATCGAAACAACACCATAACCCACTAAATATGAAGAGACAGTAGGTTATGGTGTTGGTTCTCCAGAGTTGAAGTACCAAAAAAAAGAAGGACGGTGAAGACGTTGATGTTACTAAAGATGGAAAAGAAATAGAAGATGGGGAAGATCAGAGATGAGATGGTGAATGGTAAGACTCAAATTAAATTTTTCAAATGTGGTTTCAGGTTTACGGTGATAAGATACATATATGTGAGGTATATTAATTTTTTTATAAAAAATAAATACATAAATAAGAAAATTAATTTAAAAAATTAATAAGGGAAAAATAGTATTTTTAGATAAGACAGAGACCAAACGCGTAACAAAAATAAACAGTAAGGATCATCCAAGTTAAAAAAAAAAAAAATTAAAAATAAACAGTAGAGATCATCCGACGAGATACAAATATGTGTGGTCTATTAATTTTTTTTAAATATGTATAAAATAAATACATTATTTAAGAAAATTAATTAAAAAAATAATTTAATAAGGGCACAATAGTATTTTTAGGTAAGACGGGACCAAACGCGCAACAAAAATAAATAGTAGGGACCATTTAAGTTAAAAAAATAAATTAGGGACCAAAACCACAAATTCCCCCAAACCACAGGGACCATTCATGTAATTTAATTTTTAATTTTCATTCTGTTCATATTTGGGTAACTATTTTTTTTTGTACACATCTAGGTAACAAACTTGTTGAAAGAGTTCACATCTAGGATTTAACCTGCTATAGCAGGTCATAATGGTCATATGTGAACACTTCCAAAAAGTTTGTTACCTACATATGTAAAAAAAAAAGATAGTTACCCAGATGTGAACATACCGAAAAGTTAATTACCTTGATAAGTCATATTCCCTAACAATTATGTCTAAAAAATCCATTCAATCATAGTCAAATCATAGGATTAGAAAATACAAAAAGTCAAAACGATAACCAAATCCATTGACCCACCATCCCGACACAAAAGCCCCCAATTGCAACACAATTTCCAAAAAGAATTCTATCCACGAGGCGTTTACTTTCCACACACACACATAGCTTCAACAACGTAAATCCATATACCGACAATCATGCTATGAAGATCAGTAAAGGGTGCAGGAAAAGTTGTACGAAGTGGGTGAGCCAGAAGGATGCAGAAAACACCTTTCCAGCCAACCCTAGTAGTATTGTATTGACTATCATTATGGGGTTGTCAAAATGTCAAACACAACGTGTATGCATGGTGGCATATACGCTTTCACTTTTGTTTCTTTTTGTGCAACTATGGCTCAAAGCCACAAAGCATGCTTCATGCACATATAAAATACTATAACCAAATACACCATATACACCAAATACCAATATTTAATTACCATAATGCAATGGCATATCATATGCTTTAATAAAAAAAGCTATATCCTATGGACTAAATAAGTTTAAATCAAAGTAACAAGTCAAAACTAGCGACTAGCATACCACATGCCCTTAGAAGGATAACATGACAATATTGGTTGTTATGACATTAATTAAGCATATATGGTAAAAATTGGTCAACACTACAGATTATACTGGCTGTCATCCTCATGAAACCATAAGCTGTTCATACCCTAAATTAAATGTGTAGGCGCTTTGATGGTTTTTGTGTAAACTAGATGATTGTGTGGGCCAATCCAAGATTCGATCAATTGGGGATTATACTTTGGGCCACCAATTGATAGCCTAAGTTGAAGCTTATGGGGCTAATTTCATTTTCTGTTCCTAGATTCTTATTTATTACAACTTGTTACAAATAAGAAAAAAAAACACTCCAATTAGCACTCTTCCCTTGAAAATGTTCGGAGTTTTTGTTTGAAACAAGTTGTAATATAATAATTGGGTGATAGAAAATGAAAATTAGCCCATAAGCCTTTAACTTATGCATTCTAACCAAACCAAATTTGAAAAACCGGTCCAGGTTATAGAAAGATCCATCGGTTATTGAATCGGTTAAAAGCCAATTTTTGTGTTTTAGTGCAAATGTTTTGTTATTATTAATTGATATTATGTACAGAAAAGTTTAAATTTGATTAAAAAAACATGCTCTCATAACCACATGTTACAAGGCCAGATTATATCGTTAATGAATAATGATTTTTGTGAATAGTCACGAATAAGAACCGTTCACGGATTTTGGGATTGGGCCTCACTTTTTGCACCACATTAGCCGGTTTTAACCGTTTTTTGTTTTTTAAAAATCATTTAGGTATTAACTGGCTTTTTTATTATTGGATAAAGTAGGTTAGGTTTTGTTAAGTGAAATTGAATTAAAATTTATAACCTATTTTACCTTTTAGTTTTAGTTTTATATACATTATGAATTTAGCATTCTATTAGCTAGTAATTTGGGGTATTTGGTATAGTTTTTCCCGTATGTATAAATAGATGGGCAATGTTGACTTTTATTCCACGCCACATCCCACACTTCTCTCTCTACTAATAGATGGGCTATGTTGAGTTTGATGAAAATATCATTCATTCATTGATATGTGGTTTGTTTTAGTCGTTTAGATTAATAGATGAATAACTATTTTTTTTTTGTTATATTTTTTATTTGTATTATTTATCTTTAGTAACAAAAACAGGCATATAAATCTTTTTAATAACAAACATATAAAATAGGGTCTTAATAGATAGACACATACATTTATTTATAAAGTCATCAAATAATAATTTGGTTAAACATGATATTTTGACAATTTATCAAATATATAGGTGTTATTAAACATACCTTTATGAAAAAAAAAAATATAGTAGTTAGTTGATAAAAATAATGATTTAAAATAATTTGAAAATGTTTAAAAAGAGAAATTGGGCTAATATTATATTTTAGATTTATTACTTTGTGTGTGTATATATATATATATATATATATATATATATATATATATATATATATATATATATATATATATATCTTTACTATCTTATAAAAGAAATCTAACTATTTCTATAAATAGATTGATTATAATAATAATATTTTTTAAGACGTCCAAATGATGAAGCTGATAGTACAAGTAACCATTAATAAAATAATATTAAATTTTAACCAAATTTTGAATTCAAATATTTATCATCAAATCTCTTTATATTTCTCAGCAATTTGATATAGTTCCCTTAAATCCCGGATTCATTCAAATTTTGAACCGTTTTAGATATCCTTAAATTTAGCATGTTGATTCAAATATCCCTCCAATCGCATATACCTCTTTGTTCCCTCCTCTGCTATAAAGTCTACCGTCCAGGAACAAAAAATGACTTCATCTCCGAAATAACACCATAGTTTGATTATTTTGTCTTCGACATGTACTTTCTTTTGTAACATAACATTTTTATAGAGGAAACATATTATCGAAAGAATTTACACGCCCCGCCGCTTTGCGCGGGTACACTGCTAGTGTATATATATATATATATATATATATATATATATATATATATATATATATATATATATATATATATATATATATATATGAGAAAGAGTAAATTACATGATTGGTCCCTATGGTTTGGGGTAATTTGTGCGCTTGGTCCCTAACTTATTTTTTTAATTCGGAAAGTTCGTACTGTTTATTTTTGTTACGCGTTTGGTCCCTACTGTTTGTTTTTGTTACGCGATTGGTTCCTATCTTACCTAAAAAGACTATTATTTAAATAGGAAAAAAAATGTGGGATAGGTAAGGTAAGATGAGGGGGGTTGGGTTTGCAGTGTGTTTATTTAAATATTTTAAAAAATCAATGGCAAAATAGTTTTTTTTAAGTAAAATAGGGACCAAACATGTAACAAAACGTTTGGATTTTTTACATATCAGGTGGAATTCTACTTATTTAAAGAACAGTCGACTACTTAAACAAAACGTTTTGTTAATGGAACTTTATAAAGAATTTGTACATTATGATGAGAAAATAGATATTACTACCAATGTAGATTAACAAGATTGACATGTAATATCAAGTGTTATTTTATAAAGCAACTAAATTTTTATCCTACACATATTCTCCAACCGTTTCAAAAGTTTAGTTAGATTTACTTACCAATGTTCAAAAGTTATATCAATTTAGCATTCATCCTAAGGATGCCAAAAGAGAATAATATACACCACGAATCAACAATTAACCAAATACTTTAATAGTCAATCAAAATATAGGTAAATAGAGTTCTCATCTACCAAAGAATGCCAAAAACATAGGGAAAAAAAAAAACAAGTTGCAAATTGGCATCTAACAATGAGAATCCAAGCCTTTTGAGTTGAATTCAAATTATATTTCATATTGAATAATCAGACTCATCAGAATCACTTCTCTCATGCTCCCCAACATTTGTTCCAGCTTCTGAAACATCAGGTTTTGTTGCAGGTGTTACAACTGCTTTCTTCATAGTGTTATGAGCACTTCCTTCTCCAACTTCATCTTGCTCAGTCATATCCATATGTGAAACAAACAAACCACGTGTCAAAGAATACATTCTAGATAAACAATTTCTCAACATATTATGAATTAAAATTGATATAAAAGGATATCAAGATTTTCAGCAGTTCCACCATTCATGATGTTCAACAGATCTTTCTCAACTCGTTGAACAAGTTCAGGCTGCAATGGATATAAAGATGCAAACATCATTAAAGATTGACATCAAGGATAAAAAGGTAATTTGAACTCTAAAGTGCAAAAACATACATTTAAATCAGGCTCCCTGCGAAACCTTCGCTTTCTGGCATCTCTCATTGGAGGGGTAACACCATGGCGATACTCCATGCCATCTGGAGCAGGATCACCATCTTCCCGGATCATAATCATCTGTCACATTATAATCTTGTCATGAATATAGAAATAATATCCATGTGATGTAGAATACACAGCATACAAGATTACAAGATACAAACATCACTTACTTGTCCAATATCTGCTGTTTTGATCAGAACATTGTCATCATAAGTTTTGTATGATTCTACAATACTAGGAAGATCCAAGAGGGAAGCAGGAAATTGATCATCGCCTATAACAAATGTGCCATTTCTCCCATCCTCTGTAATGTGCAAAAATGGTTGACATTCATCGATAACTCAGTTGCAAAAATACTAAAAGCAAACCTTTTCAATAGGTACCAATGGTTCAAACATACACCATAAGATCGAATTGCAATTAACAGCGATGTTGAACACATCAACAAAGTAGATTCATAAATAAACAAAGGCAAATTCAGTAGTCTCACCGGAGAAAGACAAATTAAGTGACTGGTCATGAGAGGAAGAAGCGGTTTCATTTAAAAGACGATCTATACGCTCGGCAACAGAAGGAGGCACTCTCAGTACAAATTGCTCCTCCATCCCTAATTGAACCGAAGGAAAAGGAAAGAACCCTTTAATAATTAGCAAATTTCTGAAGATGCAATGTACTTCGAAAAACATGAGGGGAATTCAACGTGATGGTAATTGAAGAGTACATATACACGCGGAAGATGTTAATTTAGAAGTACCCGAACAATTTTGAGAAGTGAGTAGGGTAGGGCAACGTGAAGGATTACGAAATCACGATGACGATTGAAGGAAAATTGGGGAGGTTGATGGCTTACCTTGGTTCGTTGATGATGAGGAACTCGGGATACAACCTCTGGATTGGATTCAACTGATACTTGTCGTTGCCGTATCGCCGGAAAATGTTTTGGAAGGTCGAGGGGACCGGGAAGAAAGGGAAAATGATTTATAAGGGTCAGTATGTTTTAAAAAACATTCAAAAAATACCTTTCAAAGTTTTTCACGTTAAAAAAAGACAAAATTGCAAAAATCGTCCCTGTGTTTGTCAAAATTATGCATTTTTGGTCCAAAAAGTTTAGACTGTGCACCAATGGTCCAAATCTGAATCTTTTTAGTGATTTTGGTCCCTTTCAACTTAAAAGGACTATTATACCCCTTATATTTATTTTTTGTTTTTTATATTTATTTTAATACTTTTAATTAATTAAAAAAAGCCCACCTACCCTATATCTCTCTCTCTCTCTCTCCTCTCTCCTCCCATCTGGGTTTGTCTTTCAAGAACTGAAGAACATCATATGAACACAAGCACATTGTCAAGAAGATACATATCTTTATGAGCAATACACACATCAAAAATTTTGGGCAATTTTGAAAATACATACTCACGTCATATTTTCTGGGCTACTTCAAAAAAGACACACTTATGAAAATACATACTCAAGAGAAACACACATCAGAGGAGGAGTTTTCCAGAAGTGTGCTACGAGTTTTCTGAGGGCCATGACTTTCAGCCATATAACCTGCACCCACCTCTATCTCTACACAGAAATCACCGGACGCCGGTTGGTTCCAAGGTTTTAAATCGGAGAACTTTTCAGATCTACACTAGGGTTAATGCTATTCCGACGATGACAGTAGTAGCTTTGATATCTGTAAGACGAAGATATCGGTGCCATCATATTTATCCGCAATCCCATAACATCACACGAACATCATCATTTTTCTGGTATCGATTTCGGATTATCAATTTCACTGAAAAGAATATCGATTTTCGCTGATGTAAATCTGATTTGTTCTTGTTTATATTTCCGGTCTTGTTCAAGGGAACCATTCAAGATGGCATATGAGAGAATTACACATATATGCTTAAAGCTCGTCTTCACTAATCCATGGAGGCAATGAAGGGGTTTCCGTGTGATCGATCATTTGCAGGAGGTGCTACCTGTACATCGCCATGGTTGAGAAAAAAAAACTCACCCTTGATTACAGTCAAGCAATCGTACTTCACAAAATCCCTCTTTACTCTTTGTAATTCTTGTATTACTTTCCTAAACTTCACAAAATCCATCTCCATGTAAACACAAACACAGTGAAACAATGAAGAAGAGGAACCTGGAACTGAGAGTTGTATAAATCATCTTTAAATGATTTGGTGAATAACTGACTTGGATTAATTGGGGATCTAGGAAACAACTAAATATGAAGAGAAACGATTCCATTGACTTTATTTAGCCAGAAAATACTTAGATGCAGGTGACAATAGAGAATTTTATGGATGAGATGTGGTGGCGAAGGTTGATTGAATTATTGGAGGTAGTGGTGGTCGACGATGTTTGTAGGATGGTAAAGGTAGTGGGTTGAATCTCGATTGTGGTTTGAAGGGGGGTGGGGTGGATTTTTTAGTTAAAATATAAGAAATCAATTAAAAGAAATTAAAAAAAGAATTATTTAAGGGCATAATCGTCATTTTAGGTAGGGATTGGACCAAAATCACAAAAAATGCCAACCATAAGGATCAAAATTACACGAGGTATCCGAAATTGGACTACTGATACACCAAGAAACGTTTTTGGACCAAAGTCACAGATTTTTGCCAACCACAGGGACCATTTTTGCAATTTTGTCTTAAAAAAACACGGTCTATTTGATCGCTTTGTACAAAAAAAAACTCAATAAACTTTATTTTGTTTAAATTACACCAACTAGTAACCGGCATCTATAGGTAAACGGGAAATTTTTACCAGTAAACATAATTGAGGAAAAAAAAAGATGACATGGCATTCTTACGTGGATTAAGGGATTGACTTAAGGATAGAGTGAAGCACAGAAGTAATGAAAGCTCTCTAGGGTTCGATCGATCAATCCTTCTCAGCTCAAATCGATCTATGACCATGTTTGTGGGTTCTATTGTAATTTTGACCAAATTGCCCCTGTATACTTTTGTATTTGTCTGTGGTCAAGGGTATAAATACCATTGATTCTTCAGTACTAGGTTTGAACCCTAACCCAGATGGTGAACGACTGATTACACTTATTCCTCCATAAGACATTAAAAATCAATTTAATAGTTTATATAGCATAAATGTTTATACTTTACTTCTGGTTGTGTTGCAAAGTGGTAGTAAAGTCTCTCGGAAGATGCCAAATAAATAACTAGAAGAGCTCGCCAAAAGGTATAGGAAAATGTTGTGCAAGGCCAGCCCTAGGCAGGTGCAAAGTGTTCCACTAAATAGGGACCAAAAAGCCAAAAAATATATAGGGTCCAAAAAAATTATGCGTCTGTACTCTATAGTAATTTACCGTAGGAGGGAAGAAAATTAGCAACCAAATAGGGAAGACGAAACTTCAGGAACATATTATCGAGAAACGATTCACAGTTTTAGAAACCGTGAAAAAACATCAAATCAGAATTCGGAAAGAATCTAACAAATCGTCGCTCACAAGAGATTGGTTTCATCGTTTCAGTTTCGTATGTGGGATAATCTCTTCCTGAATCTCTCATACTTTTGATCTTTTTCTTGGTGTTCAAAGTTCTGATTTTGAAACGGAGTTCTCTGATTCTTCTTGGGCACTAATTTGTTTCTGCTTCTAGGTTTTGATTTTTCTCTCCTTAACGGCATAACCAAGTTTGTGTTTCCATCATATTTTTCTCTCCTTACGCAAGTAGAAAATTAAAAAAAAAATTCCGGAGCTTGATATCCTTGCACATTTTATACGACAATGTATTATACTTTTTTTTTTTTTTCTGAAAGTCACTAAAACATGGAGTTTTGTTTCACAATAGGGGCCATATCTTAATTCACATATTAGAGTGGATTTGATGTTGTACAGTGGCATGTTACAGTAAAAAATAATAAATTGATATAATGTTATGTTTATTATGTTAATAATATAATTGATAATAATGTTATGTTTATCATGTTCATGTCATGAATTGTTGAGGAAGTTATGATGTTCAATTTCACTAATAAGTTCGTGTACATTTGTTCATCAATTCTATTGATTCTAAGTAATCATCTTATGCAAATTTTCAAACACAATGAAACTTTTGGATAGCCAAAAAGGATATGTATGAGTTAGTTTCTTTTTCATCATTTTTTTTACGGTTAGTATATAGTATGTCCAGTGGAATTAGAAACCTTAAAAGCAAAATTTTGGGGCTGAAAAATAATAAATTGTACATGGCCTCTAAAATGTCGGGGACCTGATGTTGTATCTTGGTTACTACAAGTATCCTCGTGTGTCTAATATATTAAAGAAAATGTTAATATTTGTTTTAAAGGCTTTTGACTCGATAAAAAAATCCCTTCCTAAAAGTCAGATGATGCAAAACGATTAGAAAATGAAGTAACACTAAATAAATTCATTCACTATTTTAAAAAAATGAAATTTACAGTTATTGTGGTTATATTGAATGATTTTTGTTCATGTTTTTCAAGTTGAAGAGTTGACTAAAAAGATTACAAATTCGACTGAAGATATATGAAAAGCTAAGGAAAATGCAATCACATAGAGCAGAAAAAACAAATTATTTGTCTAATCTTTAATGTTACGTTTGAGGGGAGTTTCACATAATTTAAGGATTGAAGCATACATTTAGGGGGTTCCATGCAAACAATAGTTTTGGTATTTTTGTGGGAATTCTATGTTTGGTGTGTCAAAGGATTTGAGAGAAATCTATAACATTTGCATGCTTTCATAATTCGACAAGTGTTATAAATAAACAAAAGTTGCAGAAGAATGAAAACTGAAAAAAAGGGAATAAGGTAAATGGAAAATAGTTGTATGACATAAATATGTAATAAAATGATATATTGGAAAAAAAGGACCAACTTTTATTAAAAAAAATGTTTTGACTTTGGTGTTATTAAACATCAACAACCAAGAACATGTCAAATGCTCATTGTATCTAAATCCCATTAGTATAACCGGTGGTAATAGACAAAAATACATATGTTGAGGCATTGCACTTCTGACATATTAATGCATTGTGACAGATTAAGGCAATGTACTTTACAGTTTTTTCCCTTCACAATTTTGACCTAGACAGTTTTGTCCCTTGACTTTAACAGTGATATTATACCTTTGACATCAGACATGAAAATTTTATTCTCACAAGAAATGAAAGTATGATGCTATGATACATAAAAAAACCAAGCAATACATCATATGCAACCATCCGTGATAAAGTATAAACAAAAAACCAAGATAGCAGCTTACTTCCATCTCATTCAGATCGAGCTTCACTATCAATCACTTGTATTTTACTGGTATCTTAAAAGTCTTTCAATGGAATTTCATTGGCATCCTACTTTCACAACCATAACCATATATGATATATATATATATATATATATATATATATATATATATATATATATATATATATATATATATATATATATATTGGTAGCTTAAGGGTAAATTGGTCATTTTTTTGCATAAGTGAGTTTTGATTTTATTTGTTGTAACAAGCAATGGTATTTCACTGTTTGTAGTTTAATGCATCTATTGTATTAATGTCATTCCACGAGTATTATTGTTAAGCTTTACTTCGTAAGGGTAAACTGGTCATTTTTGCATTGGTTTTGTTTGTCGTTTAATGCATATGTTGTATTAATGTCATTCCAGGGGTATTATTGTCAAACTTTACTTCTCAATGGTAAAGTGGTCATTTTTTTTTAGCATAAGTCAATTTTGGTTTTGTTTGTTGTAACAGACAATGATATTTCACTGTTATTTCAATGTATTTCACAATAAAAGCATAGGCAAAACCAATGAAATCGTCCACAACATAATCAACAAAAATCACAGGAAACCTGACCCACGGGGGAAAACGTCAAAAGCTCCAACACGCAGCATAACTTCAGCGAATGAGTCTAACTTACGGAGATAGAAAGTGTAAAGTAGTAGAAGAAAAGTATAAGCTTGAGTTGGAGTTCAACGATGGAGAATCCATGAAAGTTAAAGAAGCCGATCAACAGGAGCCGTATGCATCAGTTATGAGCTTGTGCCCTAAATTGACTTTCAAGGTGGGTTTTTCATTTGCTGGGTAGATTTGCCAACTCACCACCTAAATATGCCAACTCATCTACTAACTTAAAAGAGCCGGTAAAGTTAAGGTGACATTTGAACAATAAGTATAGTTCGTTGGTATTTTTTGTACAAACAGCTTATTTGGATGGTGTTTTTTTGAAATCTTAAACTTGAATGGTATTTTTTGAACAATTTTGAAACATACTTACCCTTATAAGTCATTTTCCCAGGAAATTGAGTAATCTAAAGATTTTTAATAAAAATAATCATTATAACTTTTTTTATTTTTTTATTTGGAAAAATGACAATTTTATCTAGAATATCGTATTTCGGAGTACGTAAGGTAATTCCGCACAAGTCTGGTTCAAAATATTTCGTAATAGAATATTTATGAGTATTTATTTCGTTCCAGAGTTGGTAGTGGTGGTTGGTAGGAATTGGATCTGGCATCTGATACCCTATATGTTTCGGACTGAAAATTTTAATTGTAGTCCGAAATGGCCTTACATTCCGGAGGGTTGCTCCAAAGAGGTAATTTTAGGGTATTTGTGTGTTTTTGTTCCATGTATGTAATACATTGCATATTGGTGTGTTTGATAGTTGTAACATCCCAAAATTATGAAGTAAAAATTTCATTTTCGATTCAACCAAAACATTGATTATGGTTAAAGTCAACATGTAGCATCATTTTTTATATATTCCATAGTACTTTATAAGAAAACATTTATCATAGTAAAATCCCAAAATCATCATAATGCAGAGACATGGGTGGATGCGTTGCGATCAACCTGAACTCTTTCCTTTCAAACCGGTAGTACTTGAAACCTAAACTGAAAAACCGTAAGTACAAAGTTTAGTGAGTTCCCCCAGCATACTGACATGCATATATGGGTGCGTGGCCTACCTTTTTGGTCTATTTCAACCAGATAATGTCGAACATATATGGGTGCTCAATCTGCCCCTTTGGACTATTTCAACCGGATAATGTTGAGCATATCTGGGTATGCTCGACCTGCCCTTTTGGTCTATTTCAACTGGATATCATGTCTATTTCACCTCTACCACTACCATATAATATCATACAAAATTCATCAAACAATACATGTACAACTGAAAATTATCACAAAGACAATCATCATACTATAACATAACTAGTGGGTCGATATTGGTGCCTTCGACCCACGGATATTACGAAGGAAAACTCACCTGAAGTAGAAATCATAGAATAAAACCACTGAAGCCCCTTAACTTTAGTGTTATTATTAACCAACAACATTAATAATGTGTGTACTATTCTTTTAATTTAATAGACCTTATTTTAACTGCTTTTAATTTATATCTTTCCGTCTATAGAATTCATTTACTTATTATGGCTACTTATTTCTCTATAAAATTTATTTTTGTATAAATGACTATCCATATATGTTAGTAACCCTATTTCGAAATACTTAGACGGAAAACGGGTGTTACAATAGTTTTCTTGTATGTTCCGAAATGAGTATGTATGTGAGATTTTTTTTGAGTTCTAGTTTCTAGTGGAGGGCAATGGCAGCACATCGAGCGATCCATGTAGTACATTACTCCATACTATACATGTTTTGGTGTAGATATAAGTAATGATATCAACTTCGTTAAGTTACTTACGTTGGTTGCTTCCATTCCAGGTTACACATTAATTAAATATGTGTATCTTTTCAATGTCCTGGATTAAATATATTTATGCAGATTAATGAGAATATTGATGTCAGATATTTTCTTAGTTTTGTTAGTAGTATGGCTGTTAACACAGTACAATTGTTTGTTGTTAATAATGTTATGAAAAATGGTATTCATCGATTTGTTGGGGAAAATTGTTCCGGTGGAAATGGGTCTTCCGGTGCTTAAAGTAACCAAATTTGTAATTTATTAACTGTGAAAACCAACCATGTTCATTCTTATAATGACTCTATAGATAAATGTGATTATAGGTATAATGGCACGGCTGTTGTTGATGTTTTTCCTACATTTGATGTTGATGAATTTGCAAACGATGATGCAAAACTAATGATGTTGGTTGATTATAGTAATTTAATTCCACATGGAGAACCAGTTGAACATTTTTAGAGTTACACTGAATTTGATGGGGGATGATACTGAAGGTGAAGAGGATGAAACTAAGCCCTTAAAACCCGAAACCTACAAGAGGAAAAGCTTACTTTTTATTCTTCTGATTATGAAAAAACACAAACCACCCAGGGTATGCTTGAACCTTTCCATCGCTTGAATTAGCTCAACAAAAATGTAATTGTGACACAACCCACAGTTATACTTCATATGTGAAGTTAATCCAACTCTTTAAAAGCAAATAAAAACTTAAGCTTAAATTAGGATTTAAAAGTGTCACTGAAGGCTTCTAATATAAAGTGAGAAAATCTACAAAGGACAAGTTTGAAGCTATTTGCTTTGTGGAAAACTGTGATTGACGAATACGGGTAACAAAAGATAAAAATACCGATACATTTCAAGTGGTTAAACAATCGGAGAGTCACAATTGCTAAAACACACAACCACGTCCCCATCACAGACAAGTCAACAAAAAGGTATTAGGTCACTTATTGAATGGCATATTAGTTGATAGTACATGTAATTTGTTGCGGGGGAAACATATACAACGAACATTAACTGACATTCTTAGTGTACATATTTCATACTTGCAAGCATGAATAGCTAAAAAATATGTTCTAAATCTATTGAGAGGGACCCATGAAAAAAACTTTCATACCTTTATATTGTTACAACTTGGAGAAGAAGAATCTAGGGATGGTTACACATATAAAGACGAGTCATGACAACAAATTTGAATACTTTTTCATAGGTATTGGTTGTGTGGTAATATTTCTTATATAATGAGTTCTTTATATTTAGTTACACGTGTGTTTGCTTTAACAAGTAATAATTAATATTAATTACTTTTTAGGTTCGGGCATTTCATGCAAGTTTGCATCCTATTATTATCATTGACGGAACACACTTTAAAGGGAAATAATTGAACCCCATGTTCCTAGCAACGTTGCAAAACTCATTAGACGTTCCCAAGGCGGCAACCTAGTGCCTAGCGAATATTCGGTCTAGATGGGGAGTAATCGAGAAGTACTCGAATTGGATAAATTAAATGAAATTAATTTTAGGAAAATTATATATATAACAAATACAACAAGTTTATTAAAAATTATAATAAAATAGATAAATATCAACAACAATTATATATATATATATATATATATATATATATATATATATATATATATATATATATATATATATATATATATATATATATTCTAGAAAAAAAGTCGAAATAAGATATTGTCATACAGATGGTAACCGATGGTAGTGAACAATAAAAGAAGACGACGCCTATTTCTCATTTTCAGGAGACCGACACAAGATATTGTTGTGGAGGTGGTGACCGACAACCGATATTCATGGTTGTAGACGAAGAATACCACCAACCATCACCATAACCATAAAAAAAAAAAAAAAAAAAAAAAAAAAAAAAAAAAAAAAATTTGAAGGAGGACAACAAAACTGACGATATTTGAAATAGGACCGGTGAATTTGCAAAAGTAAAGGAATTAATTGTTAGAGTAAATTACATACTTGTCCCTACAAGTTAAGGAAATAATTATTAAACACAAAAAATGTTAAAAAGAAAAAAAAAAAAAAGGGTAAAAATGCTATTTATAGAAATTTAACTTGTATTTTTTGGACTCAAGTCGGAATGACCATCTCATCTCCACAATATCGACAAAAAACAAGAACCTAGTTTTTACAGTTGGATTATATATGACTATTTCGCCATAGAACAAGGACCATTTATTTAATTTTCTCAAAAGGAAATAATATGTTTCTGAGTTTATGCGCACACTAACGCATGAATGACTCCTATAAAACCCATTTTACCCTAAAGAAACTGAAACCCCCAAAACATTAGCGTGGTTGTGTATATCTTCGCCGTCTACAAAAGTCAGATTGCTTTATTCGTGCCCTAATTCCTCATTCGCCGCTCCTGTTCTGCAAATTACACAGGTACCTTTTACAATTCGATTCATATTGATCGTGTTCATCGAGTTTTTGAAACCCGATGCTGATATTTTCTGTGGATCTTGCTTTAAACATACTTGAGAATCGTGTTTCGTGTGCATGCCAGCTTTTTCATTATATACTCGATTTTGATCTGACTTAACTTTGTTGAGATTTCAGCGATTGTTTCCGTTAGAAAATATATCTGAGTTTTGTTATTGTAGTCATCGCGTTTCAAGAACTTTTGGAGGTTTAACCAAAACCTCGTATGTCTTTAGTGGGAATTGATTTGTTGTTGATATCTCGTACTCTGAATCGCTAGGTTTGAATTATACATCACTTCAATTTGGATATTCAATCAGAAATTTCTGTTATAGATTACAGCCGTAGAGAGGCATATGTGTCCATCTGGTTTGATATGTATTCCGCTTGAGTTTTCAGCTATGTTAGGCACCTGATTTCTATGATTAGGGCTTCATACTGGAAGTTTGTTGGTCAATTACATCAAACAGACGGTTATGATTGTTAATAGTCCATCTTAATTATTGTGTCCTAAGTTCAAACAAGGATACGCGAAGTTGGACTTTGCATAATCTCTTTTATTTCTTTTAATTATGAGGTTTGACAATTTAGTTCATGGTCAGTGTAGTTTGATAGACATACATGTTCTCTATTACATTTTTTGTACAATGCCATTTTCCTAGTCTACATGGGCTTGAGAAGGAAGAAAATAAAAAGTTTGATCTCTTATAATTAGTCAATCTCTATGCTGTGAAGTTTTTGGTGGATATTTGTTTTCTTTTACTCTAAATCAATTACTTGATGAGAATCTGCATTATTTATACATTTCTTGTACTTATAACTATTTATCCTGTAAATCTAATATATGTTTTCTTTTATTTTTCCATAATTACCTTCAGAGAGCTTAACAATGGGTGGAAGGAGCTATTCACCTTCACCACCTAGGGGTGGTTATGGAAGAAGGGGAAGGAGTCCTAGTCCCAGGGGTCGCTATGGTGGTGGTAGTCGTGGAAGAGATCTTCCAACAAGTCTTCTAGTCCGTAATCTTCGCCATGATTGCCGGTGTGTAATTACTAAATTACCCTTTTTCTTTTGGCATTCTTAGTCAACTTCTCTTAGCTTATTGAACATAGTTCAAAGGGTTTTAGTATATTTTGTATTAACATGTGTTATAAATGCAGTCCAGAAGACCTTAGGAGGCCATTTGGACAATTTGGTCCTCTAAAGGACATCTATTTGCCAAGAGATTATTATAGCGGGTAAGCTTATTTTTTTTTAAAATATTTATTCCCAATTGGTAAGAGGTTATGTTGCTACCTTTTTAATTTCTTGAAATGTGTTGTGTTATTCATGATATGACAAGTCTTTTTATTTGTTTCAACTTCATCATATCTTTTTTTATGTGATAAAACTAAATATTGGGATTTTTGATAATACTGGGTAACTTTCATCTTTGAACTTTTATTAATCATACTCTTGGGATTTTCAAATAAAAGTTGTTGAGATTTAATTCAACAGTGAAGAAGTAAAAGTTTTGAAGACATGAATCAACAAGGTAGTAAGAATCTTCTTGATATATTGAAGTAGTATGAAGGTGGTGTATATGATAATGAAGAGATGTGAAGAAAAGAAAAATGAGTTTGATTTCATTTTGAAGATTTCAAGATTTCAAGTCTTGAAGAATTTCAAGTCATATTTATACTGACAATCTCAAAGGTCAGCAGCCACGTGCATGCTTTATGCCTTTATCTGCTTATCATGCTGGCCTTCCATTTTACTGGAAATTGATTGTCTGTAAGTTGCTAAAGGGGCAGTTTTGGAACTCATATTTGTTGATTTGGAGTTCTACAAACAGCCCCAAAAAGATGTTGACTTGGACTTACTTGGTCAAAGTTCTGAGGTTAATGTGACTTATTTCCAATATTTTCAGTTTTTAAAATTTTAATTTTTTTGTGTGTAGGGAGCCAAGGGGATTTGGTTTTGTGCAATTTGTGGACCCCGCTGATGCTGCTGAAGCAAAATACCAAATGGATGGTCAAATTCTTTTAGGCAGGCAATTGACTGTTGTTTTTGCTGAAGAGAATCGGAAGAAACCTTCTGATATGAGAGTAAGAGAGCGCAGGTAATTTTTTTTTTATTGTTTATATATTTCAAGGTTAATCTTAGAAAAGACCTTATATTTTTTGTTTTTTCCCGGTTATACCTCAAATTAATTTTGCCTGAAAAAGACCTAGTATTTTTCATTTTTTTTTTCCAAAAAAGCCCTCAACTTTGTATTTTTTTCTGAAAAAGCCCTTGACCTTTTTAGTTTTTCTTTAAAAAACCCTCACATTTTACATTGTGTAAAATATAAGGTTTTTTTTGAGATTAACCCTTTTCTAAAAAATTGTAAAATGTGAGGGTTTTTTTTTGAGAAAAAGTAAAAAAGATGAGGGTTTATTTGGAAGCAGTTAGAAGATTGAGGGTTTTGTTTCAGAAAAAAAAGACAAAGTTGAGGGTTTTTTCGGGTGAAAATGAAAATATACACGGTCTTTTTCAAGCAAAAAATAAAGTTTAGGTTTAATCTAGAAAAAACACAAAATATAAGGTCTTTAATGAGAATAACCCTATTTTTTATAAAAAAGTATAGAATATTGCAGTTTTGGTCCCTGAGTTTTGCAAACGTTTGCGGTTTTGGTCTGTAAACTACAAAGTTTGCACAAGATACCCTTATGATCATGTTGAAATTGAAATGACCAAATTACCCTTATGTAGTTTTTTATTTTTATTTTTGTAGGGGCGGCAGATTCAGTGACCGTAGGCGGTCACCGCCACCTCGTTACTCTCGTTCACCGCGTTACACCCGATCTCCACCACCTCGCTATGCTAGATCACCATCCCGCAGCCGTGATTACTCTCCACCACCAAGGAGAAGGCAGTACTCAAGGTAAAACTATTTCTATATTATCAAAATACTACTAATTATCAGGCATATTTAGGAAGCTGTGTCTAATTTACATAAATGGTCCCTGCTTTACTAGGACAATTACAAAGATGGTCCCTATGCTTCTTAGATTATAGAAAACTTACATAATACATAATTTTGGTCCCCTTGTATTTACAAAAGTACAGAAAAGGTTCCTAAAATTACAAACATGCTTCTTATGTTTAAAAAAATTTCCAACATGGTCCCCGTCTAATAAGAAAACTACATACTTGGTCCCTACCTAATATGAAACTTACAACCATGGTCTCCATTTTTCACAAAAATTGCCAGAAATGGAACTTATGTAAGAGACCATCAAATAAATGATGTCTAACATGTAAGATTAATTACTATTTTTGATATTTATAATTGTCGTTAAAAATAATCACAATTTTAAAATCATTGCAGGTCAATTACTCCTCGAGACAGAAGGTACAGCCGTGAGAGGTCATACTCACGCTCACCAGTACGGGAGCGGTCTCTATCTTATGATGATGATGTGCCGCCAAGGAGCCCCATGAGGGAGACTTCACCGCCGTATAGCCGGAGTCGTAGCCGGAGCCGGAGTCCAGTAAGGGAGCAGCTTCCGGTGAGACGTGGTGGGAGCAGGAGCCGGAGCCCTAGCCGGAGCCGGAGCAGGAGCGGTGAGCCTGGTGGTTATTACAGGGATGTGCCACCGCGTAGGGATGATTCTGTTAGTCCATGAGTTGAGCAGAGGTGGTGGTTGGTGTTTGTTAAAACTTTTGGAGATGTTTGTGATGAGGTGGTGGTGGTGGTAGGAGATTTGTAGTTTGATTGTGTGGTTTTCTTTAGTCGGCACTTTACTTTGTCTTCTAGATATACTGACTAAGGTTTGTTATGCAATGTTAGGCCCTTTTTTCTGGTACCTTTGTAAGAGAAACCTAATCGGATAGGTATTGTTGGTTGCAAAGTGGTTTGCTCTTCGGTTTACTGCTAGATATATAAAAAGTTAAATAATGGATCTGTTGAATTTTATTTTGTTATTTATTGATATAATAACTTTTGATTGTAATATTGAAGTAAGTTATATATTTTAAAATGATTAATTAAGTTATATATTAAAAATGAATAATCAAATATGCATGTGAGCATAGAGATGAGCAAACGGACCGGGAACCGGTCGAGCTGGGACCGGTACTATAATGTTGTGAATATTTGGAACCGGAGATGTGGTAAGAACCGGCCCAAAGATAGTCTTTCCATAACAACCCATGCCTTTGTCGCTTGCACTTCTACTTTGGACGTAAAAAAAAAAGCGATCGTGAATCAATAATAACCCACGGAATCCACTGAAGCACGACTCCAAGTCACGAAGATACGAACCCTTCCAGCGACCACAGGCTACCATCGATCGACATCTCCAACTTGGAATCCAAGCATCGATCATCCCTTCTACCCTACTTGTATGATTCCAAGCATCTCAAAGTTTCAATCGATCTTCATCATCATTCATCAATTTTCATCTTCTCAATTCTTAAGTCGACATCTTCATATTTTGCTTCAATGATTCGAACAACTATGGATGTTCATAAAGATCAAGTAAGATTATATATTTGTATTTCATGTTTTAAGTTCCATTTAACAATGTAGTTTGTACTTTGTAGACTTACATGCAAGATTAATGTGTAAAATTGACAATGTAGGATTTGGATGGGTTACCAAATGTACCATCATCAAGATACTAAAACTCGGATGTTCATGATGCCAATAATGAAGATGGTAATCCAGCTAATTGGATTGGAAAAGACTTTGATGACCAAGTAAGATTAGCTCATTAGCAATATTTACTTCTTTTGCAACCTGTGCAAATTTTGAAAGTTGCATAACTCAATCAATTTAACTTGTTTTGATCTGAATCTTTTTCCTACATGTAGATTATGATTTGTAGTTGAGTTTAGACTATAAAAACGTAAGCTTGATTTGGTTAAAAATTGAATGAGTTACAAGCCCCGCAAGAAGGATGTCAAATCTGATTTTTTTTTTTTTTTTTAAATTTTTTTTTTTAACAGTAATAAAACGTAATCTGACTTTGTTGTTCAAATGTACATAACTCACTCAATTTAACTTGTTTTGACCTGATTTTTTTTTCTACATGTAGATTAGGATTTGTAGTTGAGTTTAGACTATAAAAACGCTTGATTTGGTCCGGATTATCGAACACAAGAAAAATACCCAACAAAACCAAAACCCACAAAAAAGGCTCAAAAGGAGTTAAGGGACCGGATTAACCCAACCAGACGAGGTGAGGGTAGAGATAATTGTATCGCTCCTGTTTGGAATTACTTCGAGATAGAATGAATAAAGGAGGAAGATGAAATTGAAAGAAAGTGGACCGAATGTAATTATTATTACAGTTACTAGCCACAGATCCAAACCGGAATGGGACAACTTCAATAAACAAGCATTTTAATGGGTGCAAGTTAAATCCGGACAACAAACCGAAATAAGTTGATGACAAACAACAAAAGTTGCCATTTACGAAAGCACCTAATGGTGAGGGTCATGTATACACATGGAAACATGATGATACTAGGATCCAACTTGCCTTGCTAGGCCTTTTCACCATCGGGGAACTACCCTTTAAATTCATTGAAAACGAGGCATTCATAGAATTTGTAAACGCCCTCATTGGTAGGGTGAAATTGCCTTCAAGGCATAAAATTTCTCGTGATGTTGTGTCCTTCTATTTAATGGAGAGGGAGAAGTTGTACAAACATTTGAGCATCCCCAAAACATCCATCCACTTGACAGCCGACACGTGGACATCCTCGTGTCAAAAGATAAATTATATGGTTGTCACGGCCCACTTCATTACCGAAGATTTTGTCATGCACAAAAGGGTAGTCAACTTTAGAGAGATTGATACTCACAAAGTTGAAGACATGGCCCGGGAGTTGCTAATTTGCATAAACGAGTGGGGGATGAAGAATGTCACGACGATGACCGTTGATAATGCCAAGACAAATGACGCAACAATCAACATCATTGTGAAAGAACTACCGAGTATTTACGAGAATGGCAAACATTTTCACGTTAGGTGTATGGCTCATATCATAAACCTAGTTGTGAAAATGGGGTTAAACCACAAAGTTTATCATGTAAAAAGCATACAAGATGCGGTGAAATACATTAGAGCCTCCCCGCAACAGATCAAGACCTTTAAACAAGCCATGAAGGATGTGGCTGTAGAAAGTCAAAGGTTTTTGTGTGGTGAAACTCCAACAAGGTGGAACTCTATCTTTGAATTGCTAAGTTCAGCATACGATGTGAAAGACGCATTTCTCGAATATAGCCATCAAGGTAAATAAAATCAAATATATTTCAACACTAAAAATAGCAATATTTACTTCTTTAGCAATCTGTCCAAATTTTGAAATGTGCATAACTCACTCAATTTAACTTGTTTTAATCTGAATATTTTTCCTACATGTAGATTAGGATCTGTAGTTGAGCTTAGACTATAAAAACGATTGATTTAGTTAAAAGTTTAATGAGTTACAAGCCCCGCAAGGAAGGGTGTCAAATCTGAATTATTATTATTATTGTTATTATTATTATTATTATTATTATTATTATTTTTATTTTTATTTTTTTGTAACAGCAATAAAACGTAATATGACTTTGTTGTTCAAATGTGCATAACTCACTCAATTTAATTTGTTTTGACCTGAATCGTTTTCCTACATGTATATTAGGATTTGTAGTTGAGTTTAGACTATAAAAACGCTTGATTTGGTTAAAAATTGAATGAGTTACAAGCCCCGAAAGGAAGGGTGTCAAATCTGATTTTTTTTTGTAACAACAATAAAACGTAATATGCCTTTGTTGTTCAAATGTGCATAACTCACTCAATTTAACTTGAATCTTTTTCCTACGTGTTAGCTGACGATGACCTCGCTATTAGTAATACACTAATACTTGTTATATCTTATTTTTAACATCTTATTAGTAATTGTTACATTTTAGTAAGTAATAACGTTTTTCTTTTGTATTATATATAGACATTGTGGATGCTATACACAACTTAAAGCTAACGGGGAAAAGATCGGAGAATTAGTCAAAATATCAAATAGATGTTGGAATCCATATATTAGACTTTGTTTTTTGTTTTGTTTTGTTTTTTTTTTTTGGTGGTGAAACTTGAAAGTATATTTTGAATTCAATCCCAACCATCAAATCTAAACATGTTAAACGTAAAAAAGAAAAGCAAATGGATGAAAACTTGCACAAAAAGAAAAGCAAATGGCCACATCATAAAATGTTCATAGCACACTAAACACACTACTACTCAAAACAGATTAAACGTATATCTTAGACCAAAAGTGTATTAACAAATATGTTGCTATTTGTCGAAGACCGGTTCCGAAATCGAAAAATCGGCAAAAACCGGACCCGGAACCGGAACCGGTAGAACCGCCGGGCCGGTTCGGTTCTTGATTTTGGCCGAAACCGGTTCTCGGTTCGGGTTCGGGTTCGGGTCTGGTCGGTTCCGGCCAGGACAGTCCTTTTTGATTGGTTTTAGTCATAAGAACATCCTATGTGCTCATACAAACCCTAATGCTTGGATCTAAGTTTCTCTATTGTACATGCAAGTTATCCAAGACTATAAACCCTAATTCTAACATATGGAAATCTATATTAACATATAATTAGGTTTAAGATATTACCTTGATTGTTATGTAGCAATAACAATCTCAAATCCTCCTTGTATTGACTTTAGAAAGCTTAGAGTCACAAATGTCACTCCTCTAATGGTTCACAAACACCAAGAGCAAGAGGATGAAGAGGAGAGAGGATAGAGGCTACCCAAAAACGTGTTCTAACCCTAGAATAGAAGTTCCCCACGTTTTTGAGTCATAAGGGTTCTATATATAGTGAGGCTATTAGGGTTATCTAACAAGGAAACCCTAATTTGGATGCTTAAGCCCTAAGCAACCCATGGACCTCCTTTCCTTAAGGCCTTGGACGATTTCTCATGGGTTTCCCCATAGAATTCATCCACCCCTTAATATAAGACAATCCATGGCCCAAATTGCAATTATCTTATAATTACAATTCTAGTCCCTTAAGTTTAATTAATCTCTTTTAGACACAAAACTAATTACCAATTAATTCTTGACTAATATTAATTAAACAATATAATTTCTCCTTTAATATATTATTCTCATAATACATTAATAAATCATATTTAATCCTTTCTCTCCATAATTCATCCTATCAAGTTGCTTTGGTGAAGGCAACCCAAAAGGACCATGCACCATCGGGTCAAATACATACCAAAATAGTTATGGACTTAAACACTAATCCAACAGTCTCCCACTTGGATAAGTCTAATAACTATTTTGCGTATGACTTCAGATCTTGATCTGCAATCGTAGCTTTCCAAAGCCGCTATCAACTCTGATCCTATCAGATACGCGTGTCCTTTAGATAAGGGATCATATATTCCTCCATTCTAGATATCGTATGAGATATGATTTCAAATCATTCTCTTTGTACTATTTCTCGATTTCCGATTTATGACGACTGGCTAATTGAAAAAATCAAATTAGCCCTAGCCCGGTCGAGCAATTACGTTTGTGATCACTAAACCATTGAGGGGCCCAAAGATATCGCTTTTATCCTACTTTGGATAAAAGGAACAGATAAACTTTGATTCAATGCTCACTTGCACTTACTCACCGAATCACACACAACAATATGTTTTATGACACCAAGTTACTGGTGCGTTTGCATATTATCAATGTGCAACCGATTAGCAAGATACAATTCACACATCTCGGTTTCAAGAATATAAGATGTTATCTTCTCACCAATCACTCGTGATACAATCCATGGAGTGATCCAAGTGAGCGTGGGTTTGATCCAATGCTCAAATCATATTCATAAGCACTCATGAACATTGCAGCAAACATTTGCTTATGTCTAATACTCTTTTAGACAATCCACACACCAATTCACAACAGTCTTCATTAATACCTACTTCCAACATATGAACAACTGTGGCCCGTTCGAATAACTTGACTGTGCTTAATCAATTAAGTTATTCAGGAAGTCAAAACATGCAAAGTGAAACACAAGAGTAATACTAATCCCATATGGCCTCAAACCTTTGAGCATAAATAAAACACCTTTTATTTATCACCATATCGATTACTCATTATTTGTTGTTTCGAGTGATCAACTTCTTGCTTGAATTATTACACTTGTCCCATGCTCTTAGCATGCACACAATGTTTACCTATGGTTCTTACTTTGTGAAATAGATCAAATTGGACACATTTCCAATCATTCTCATTTCGCAACTCCTAATCCTTTTTCATAAGTGTAAGAATATCAAATTCTTGATACTTATAGAATATGCTAGATTCTAACATTTTATGCAATGATCCTTTCGTAATATCACTACACCAAAGTCACAAAGACTATTGCCAATGAAAATACAAAGTTCTCTATCGGAGATTGTTACAAGACAATTCCTTAGATATGATGTCTCTCACTCAAAGTACATTCCTTTGAACATCCTTTTGCATAAAAGTTTCTAATATAGTCATAGATTTTTCAATATTCAATTTCCCAATATGGACACATTTCCATATTTTCCATATGACAACTTATTCTTAATAGGATCTTATTTATTTATAATAATGTCGATATGGTCCATCCAATACCATGCTTCCAACTACTCACAGACAACCAATCCTCGTCGAACTTTGGATTGTCCTTTGATAGTTGTTTAATTATTTTAGTCAAAACCGATTCTAGTCCTTTTTCCCTCTAAATGCGCTAGACATTTGGAAAAATTTAGAATGGTCAAATATTAAAGCATTTGCAATCGATCCTATACCCGAAGTGTATGGGACACGATGCATAATGTTTTATTTGCTATGTTCTCAAAATTCAAATTGTGAAGAGGAATGCCGTAATCATAATTGAAATTTTAAGAACACACTATGTACCTTTGACTAAATTTATTAACATTTCTCAACCTAAGCCTTTATATTTGAAACGAAGCATAATATTGTCTCCCTTAATTATAGCAAAACAACTTTACAACCCTTACGACTTTGCAATGTATAACTCTTGTTTTCTATAATTAATATTGCCAACTTGCAATACGTGCCTTAATAATCATACAATCATAACATTTATGCTCCCACTATCATGATGATTATTATAAAACATAACACTTATGCTCCCACTAGCTTTGACATGTATTCATAAACATCTTAACTTTCAGAAAAACAATACCTATTGAATTTCTTAAGTCCATGTTTCTAATATTTAATGCTAGGGATGAGCAAAAGGACCGAATCGGCTGGAACCGGCCCGAACCGGACCGGAACCGGGAACCGGCTTCCACCAAAATCAAGAACCGAACCGGCCCGGCGGTTCTATCGGTTCTGGTTCTACCGGTTCCCGGTTCCTACCGGTTCTTGTCGTGTCTTCAAATGTTGGAACCGGTCCTTAAAAAATAGCATAATACGGTTCCGGTTTTTGCCGGTTCTACCGGTTCCGGTTATATCGGTTCCGGTTCCTACCGGTTCCCGGTTCCAAAAATCCACAAAAATAACGTCCTGGTCCCGGCCCGACCGGTTCCATCGGGTTCCGGTTCCGGTACCGGTTCCGGCCGGTTCCCCGGTCCATTTGCTCATCCCTACTTAATGCTTTGATAATCTTTTATCAAGGCCTCTTAAACTTATACACCTTTTCCTTAGATAGCTCATATGTTTGTTTAAACAATTAAGACTAGTTGCCAAACCTCACAATTCAAATCATGGAAAGGGATACCGTAACCATAATCGAATTCGAGAATGCAATTTTACAATCACTATCTTCGTAAATCTTTCTTAGTGAAAGCATTTCCTCACAATCATTTTCATGAAGGAGGAAATCTTATGACACTTAGATTTAAACGGTGTATATGTTCCTATCAATGTGAATTTGTTAAAACCAAAATTTACGACAAATTCAAACTCATATGGACCGAACTTTCTTAATCTTGATTTCTTGCCTTATGGTAGCACAGCTGCCCACCACGTCTTCCAAGTAGTTAAGCAGCTCACCTTCTCCTATTAATGTACCTTTCATTGATCAAGGTGCCTTGCCTTTTATGCGTTCAAAATGAGAACTCATAGAACTCACATGCATAATAAACTCAATTGGAAACAGCACAGAAACAAAATAATGTCAACACGATAGGTTGTAAACCTCAACTCGTGTGCTAGTGATGATCGATAAGGTTTATTTGATTTGTTCTTGAAACCTTTCAAGACCATTAAGACTCCCACTGACTCCTTGACATATA